CCTCCTCAATCTGAGATTCAACTATCGATCGAACCCTCCTCTCCAGTATTTTTCCAGGGAGGCTGAGGAGTGTGATCCCCCTATAGTTGGAACACACCCTCTGGTCACCCTTCTAAAAGATGGGGACCACCACCCCGGTCTGCCACTCCCTAGGAACTGCCCCTGATGACCACGCAATGTTGCAGAGACGTGTCAACCACGACAGCCCTACAACATCCATAGCCTTGAGATACCCAGGACGAATCTCATCCACCCCCTGGGGCTCTGCCGCTGTGTAGTTGTTTGACTACCTCAGCAACTTCTGCCCCCGAGATTGGACAGTCCACCCCCAGGTCTCCTGGCTCTGGTTCCTCCTCGGAATGCGCATAGGTGGGATTGAGGAGCTCCTCAAAGTATTCCTTCCACCGTCCGACGATAGCCCCAGTTGACGTCGGCAGCTCCCCATCCCCACTGTAAACAGTGTGAGCGAGTTGCTGCCTTCCTCTCCTGAGGCGCCGGACAGTTTGCCAGAACCTCTTTGAAGCTGATATATAGTTTTTCTCCATGGCCTCACCAAACTCCTCCCAGGCCCGAGATTTTGCCTTGGCAACTGCCACTGCTGCACCCCGCTTGGATATCCGGTACCTGTCTGCTGCCTCCGGAGACCCACAGACCAGCCACACCTTGTAGGCCTCCTTCTTCAGCCTGACAGCTCCCCGAACCTCTGGTGTCCAACAGCGGGTGCAGGGGTTGCCACCATGACTGGCACCGGCCACCTTGCGACCACAGCTAGCAACAGCCGCCTCAACAATCGCAGAGTGGAACAAGGCCCGCTCGGAGTCAATGTCCCCCACTGCTCTCGGGACGCGGCCAAAGCTCTGCCGGAGGTGGGAGTTGAAGACCGTCTTGACAGGTTCTTCTGCTAGGCGTTCCCAGCAGACCCTCACTATGCGTTTGGGTCTGTCAGGTCTACTCAGCATCTTCCCCTGCCATCTGATTCAACTAACCACCAGGTGGTGATCAGTTGACAGCTCTGCTCCTCTCTTCACTCAGGTGTCCAAAACATACGGCCGCAGGTCAGATGATACGACTACAAAGTCTATCATCGACCTGCGACCTAGGCTGCCCTGGTACCAAGTGTACCGATGGGCATCCTTATGTTCGAACATGGTGTTCGTTATGGCCAAACTGCAGCTTGCACAGAAGCCCAATAATGAAACACCACTCGAGTTCAGATCAGGCGGGCCGTTCCTCCCAATCACACACCTCCAGGTCATGCTGTCATTGCCCACGTGAGCATTGAAGTCCCCCAGCAGGACAATGGGGTCCCCTGATGGAGCACTATCTAGCACTCCTCCCAGGGACTCCAAAAAGGGTGGGTACTCTGAACTCATATTTAGCCCATAAGCGCAAACTACAGTCAGGACCCGTTCCCCGACCCGAAGGCACAGGGAAGCTACCCTCTCGTCCATTGGGGTAAACCCCAACACACAGGCAGAGAGTCTTGGGGCTAGCAAAAAGCCAGTTTTGAAAAGTTTTGAATTTGCACCGTCTTCCTGACATCACTCACTCCTGCCTATAAAGGACACAAAGACATATTTAGAAAGATTGTTCCTGTTTATATTGACTGTTTATTCAATAAATTAGGCCTGCTTTTCAGACCTTAGCTCTTTTATCGTCGTCGTCGTCGTCTTCCTCCGCTTATCCGGGTCCGGGTCGCGGGGGCAGCATCCCAACTAGGGAGCTCCAGGCCGTCCTCTCCCCGGCCTTGTCCACCGGCTCCTCCGGCAGGACCCCAAGGCGTTCCCGGACCAGATTGGAGATGTAACTTCTCCAACGTGTCCTGGGTCGACCCGGGGGCCTTCTGCCGGCCTTAGCTCTTTTATATCTTTCATAATCTATGTATTATACTTACTGTACACACCACATTACACTTTACTGCTTATTTCACATAGTTGGATATTAAACTGCATTTTGTTGTTCCATTATTGGTCATTTTAGGTTAGTCCAGTCATCCAGAAACAAGATTCAGGGTAGATGACTAGGCTAATATCTCCCGCTAACACCACAGACATATTGGACCTGAAAAATATTTTTTTTCTACCTCAGAAATAAGTACTTCTAGTTGTTTGCTAACTTTTTAGTCTGGACTGTACGTAGCATTACTATGATAAATATATAGTTACCACTTAAAATCATTCTAGTTATTAATTTAGCCGTGTCGAATTCAATTTAATTACGTTAACAACTTTGTTCAAATGACCATGCCAGTGTTCAGTTCTCACTGCCTCCTGGCTGCGGTTTGTGTAGCTAGCTAAAAACAGTATGAACAGCTGAGGCTCTGTCCTCTGAGCAAAACAAAAGCTCTCCGCTGCTCCTTTGTCACTCAACAGAGAGAAGGAGAAAAACTTCTCGCTCTATAAACTGCGATAAAGCAATACTTCGTGAACCGAGTTGCTACTTTTGGCCCTTCTTTGGAGAAATAAATCTAGGGGTGAAAAATCTGTAAATCTAGCCAAAAAGACAGTTGGAAAAACAGAAGTGGAACTGGAACTGAAGGGGAATATGCAATCTGATTGGTTGGAAGTGTCATGTGGGGCACTGTGCCAGCTAGATGCAGAAATGAAAGGAGAAGCGCTACAGCCCAGTATTGCCCAAAATGTTTAATCCGTTTGTTTATCCACAAGGAGGGAAAATTATTTTCCAGGACAACTCAAAAATTTCCAGGACATTTTGCAATTCCCCCCCCATTTTCCATGTGTTTTCCATGACTGGAAAATTGGACTATCATTTTCCAGGTTTTCCAGGACGCGTGGGAACCCTGCCCTAGTTAGCGCTGAAGGAGGCCATCACTGGATCTATCGCATATCTTTTCTAATTTCATCAGTAAGAATAATAATACGACATGGATAAATTATATTATTGTTATGTAGAATAGGAATTACAGAGAGGTGTTGATTAAATATTAAAATGAGATGTTTGTTCTCTCGGTGCGGGGGCTCGTTCCAACGCCCACACAGTAAAAAAAATGCAATCATAATTGGGAGTGAATGAGTTAAATAAATCTAATAATAATATACCGAAAATGAACCGAGCCCTTCAAAATTCTGGACCAAACCAAATACGAGTTTGGCGTACCGTCACAGCCCTACTAACCATTACATGCCCGTAACAGCAGAGGGCACCTGGCTGTATCTTCTTGTAGCAGTGTGTGTCCTGTCACAGTGTCCCGATAGATCATGCGCCCTGGCTACTTGGTCAAGGGGATGTCCCTTTGGCTGACTGGTTAGAGCGTATGACTCTCACCCGGGAGTCTGGGGATCGAATCCCGCCTGGGCCCTCGTTTATCCAACTTGCCACATTCTCAACAGTGAGGATGGCGTTGTGGGAGGATTCGGCAGGTGTAGCGATTAGGGTTGTCACGGTAGCCGGTGTAGCGGTAAACCCCGGTAAAAAAGTTGACAATAATAATAACCGTCTTGTCTTTTTGAAAAACATATGATCTCTGTGGATTACCGTGGCTTCAGTGACCCTTACCCTTACTCATTCTCTGTGCAGAACTAAGCAGAGGATGAGTCTGGCAGGCCAGGCTAGGTCAATACGGTAACATTGCTGGGAAAAATATTGTGATATATTGTTATATCGATATTTTCTTACATTCCTGCTTCATATACGTATGGAATAAATGAGTAACCCACACCTTTAAAGGATTAACTGTCTCTCTAGGCTGATGATATCTTTGCACAAAGCTGCAGATTTCTCTCTCATAGTCTGAAAGGAAGTTATGTGGGAGAGAGAAAGAGGACCATGATAAACATCAGGGTTTACCCCAGTGCTTTGTAAGCCTGACGGGCCACCAGGCCTTACTCGAGCGAGTAAGAAAGGAAACTCCTCAGGAAAATCATCTGTAGCTTTGATGAGCTAAAGCTAAAGCCGCACGCTAGTCACTCTAGGAGCGCTGCATTGCTCCAGTTTGCCATCTCAGCGACTCTGACCACAAAAGCAAAACTTAGCTTGTGTTTACCTTCATTAATTCCCTTCTGGAGTTCGGCAGTAGCTCCCCACATGATCCTGACACGTGACCTCTCCTGATAATAACACTTTACTTTCTTTGACATTGAACGTGCTACTACTAGTTTACCCGTTTAACAATAGATCCACTAGGATAAATACAATAAAGTTTATCTCTCACCAAATAGAATATTTACTAAGAAATCACAATATCACCATAGACACATTACATGGTGTGTGTGTGTGTTTGTGTGTGTGATCTTTCGGACATACATGGCAGCTGTGTTTCCCGACTACTTTTATTTTCTGCTTTACCGTTCTCTTCACTTAAGACGAGCAGCTAGATGTCGTCAGCAGGAATTCTTGGTTTTAAGTGTTAATCAGCAACATAAGCCCACTTGTTGTGCTGGAGCAGGGAAACAACTAAAATATGATGGATTTGGAATATGGAGGACCAGGGTGAGAGCTGGTGTGGTGGGCTGGCCTCGGTCCAAACGCCCTGGCTGATCTTGTCCCAGTCCAGCCCAGTCACAGGTCTGTGTACATGAAGATGTCAGCAGTCCTCTGAAAATCTTGAGCTCAAGTTCAGAACTGTTTTGTACTTTTATGAGTTCAGGCATACAGGTTTAATGTACTGTTGACCCATGGGGTTTATATAGAACATATAGAAATGGCTTCATAGCTTCAGAGTTGGGTCTTCACCTAAAACTTCGTTTTCCCCTCTACACTTGAGACGAGGCTCCGGATAAAACATGTACTGTATAAATTAATCTTGTATTAAATGGCTGACTAGTACTTTCTGCTTCTCTATCACACGTTGTGTGAGTTTTAAAATACCTACAGCTCTCACAAACCTTCTAAACTTTGAGTCAAAGCCCGTGAGCGTTCTGTTTTAAACCAACTCAAACCGACCCAGAGTCATGGCCGCCGACACCTCAGTCGGGCTCTTCTTTGCGGTTCCGATGAGACAGAAAGGTGTGAAAACATGTTTTGTCCCAGCTCTGCCTCACCTTTCCCAGCTCCAGTGACCAGCGCGTGTTTTCCACACAAGGAGATTTCCATGGTCGGGCTTCGGTTCGGTCTCGAGCTCCTGCAGAACCAGCGATCAGTCACGTGACGGACATGTGTCGGGCATACAAGGGCGTAGGAACCGGAGGGGACGGGTTCCCTCCAATATTGGACAAACGCGCATTTGCCCCCCCCCCCCCCCCCCCCCCCCCAATAACATGGAGAAGAAAAAAAAAAGATTTTGAAATATTTGACTCGTGAGCTTTATTTTGAAAGACACCACGGACTTCTCTCCGACACAGCCCCTCCCCTCAGGGAGTCAGGCTGGCTGAGTGAAGCAGGAGTGGAGCAAACACAGGTGTCAGAGACAGACGGCAGCAGTTCAGCGAGTTCTTGTCATGGGCAAAAAAAAAAGAAAGAAAGGAAATGTGAGTTGGTAATAAAGTCCAAGAGGATAATTGTATTTCTGGTCAAACGTTAGACTGGCTGACAGTGTTGGGAGTAATGCGGTACAAAAGTAATTAATTACTGTAAAGCATTGCTTTTTGCTGTAATGTGGTAATGTAAGGCATTACAGGGAAAGAAAATGGTAATATTTACTCGGTACAATTGTCAGTACCGTGGTAATTACAATGCATTTTTAAACCCAGAATCAAGATGTGTTCCTTAAAAATTCAAATTGCAGGAAACCCGAAGAAAGATCCAGTATCTGCATATATTACGTCATTTATGGACTCAGCTTTGCGGGCAGAGAGGACGCCGCGGTAACGGCTCAGCTGTGTCCTGCACGCGGCCGCTGCAACATTCACAAAATCGCTCCACTAAAACAAAATAATTCACCTGCGATCGTTCATATCAGCGCATGTTCTCTGGTATTTAGTGCTTTTCTGACGTGCTTTGCCTCAGCTGAGTTAATCTGGGCCCCGGTGATTTTAACTCATTGCTGCTGGAGCGCCGCACATGTGAAGATCCCTTTGGCTGATCGTTAGAAAGTAGGAAGTCTAGGAAACAGTTTTTTTCTGGAAGACGGAGAAAACATGCAGCATGCAGGACGGTTAGAGAGAGAAAAGGCCGGAAATTATTCAAATAAAATCAAGAAAACAAAACAAAGTGCTTGAAAAGAAAAAACTAGGTAGATTTATCCCCAATACACATGTTTACCAGTGACAAGCAATAATATATAAGCATTTAATATTTATACATGTGATAGAATCAGATCACCCCAGAAGTCAGTCCCACATCCAGGGTCGTATCAAGGCGTTTGGGGACCAAGGCAAATATAGGCTTGGAGCCCCCACCACCTCACTCCCTGCTCAGTTAATATAAGATGGCAGCGTGTTGAGAGTACAGATTGTTGTTGCTTTTATTTAATAAACAATCATTTTAAAGCACTGTTATCATATCTGACTGTTTTAACAGCAATCCTAGCTCAGACACCACATCACCTTCCACATATATGTCATGAGCTCACTGAGCGTCACATGACCAGATTCATACTGAAGTTGTTTTGGTGAAAGTAACTTAAAGTAATGCAAAAGTAGTGTAATGCCATACATTTTAAAATCAGTAATATTGTAATATAATGAATTACTTTAAAATGAGGGTAACAAGTAATAAATAATGTATTACAGTTTTGAAGTAACTTGCTCAACACTGCTGGCTGACTAGCGTAAACATCTTGCTAGTTAGCGTTAAACATTAAACAACACTAGTCAACAAAAAATGGCGAATTTTACAGTAACAGACAAAAACCATTTGACACGAAATAAATAAAAAAGTTGAATCTCCACTTAAAAATGGAGTTTGTAAGTGTGATTGTTGCTTGTTTGTGACATTATCATCACATTTTATCTTTAAACCTTATTCATGTCACTTTTTTCATATAAGAGACCAGAGGATGTTCAGCAGGAAATGATGAAGAAGGTGAGACAAATGTGTCCGTGTTAAGAAGTCTCTTACATACAAAAACACAATATAAACACACCATCTTGGACCGATACATGACAGGATACCACACAACAGCGCTACGCCCTCTGCTGTCCTGGTGGGGAATTGCTTTGCAACACTCCCCAGGAGACGGAGAAGTATGAGGGCCAAATGTCCCCGTGCATGCGTTTGTGTCTCCCTGTTGGAGCTGACGGAGGAGCATGAATCAGGCTTTACTCCGATCAGGGACCGGGAGACGAGGGCTTTGAGTGCTTCCCTGCTGTTGTTCGCTTCATCCTCCCTTGGTACAGCCCCCAAACTGCAGGCCTCAGCAGAAATTGTGGGAGTCAAAATGGGGGGTGGGGTGGTGGTGCGGGATCACTAAACTTTAAGTTAACTAAAAGTTTACTTAAAGCTCATTACAAATAAACCAAAAGTTTCCTTAAATTTCATTAGTAGTAAATGAAAAGTATACTTAAACTAAACATAAATTCAATTAAATTCAAAGCTTTATTTATAAAATGCCTTCTGCAACCCTGTCAGGGAGCCCAAGGCGCCGAACACCATACATAAGAAACGTAAATCACAATGAATAAATGTATAATAAAAGCAATTAAAATAGTGCAAAGAGGGTAAAACATTGAAGTAGAAACAAATGGATGAAACAAGGGATAAAGTGACCAATAAAAACAGGAAATAAAATCAACATAAAAGAGGGCCGACCTCAAACATGTTCAGGGAACGCCAAGCGGAAGAAGTGGGTTTTCAGGCGACTCTTAAAAACCTGCGGAGATGGGGGCAGCCTAACTGAGGGTGGCAAATGGTTCCAGAGTGACGGAGCTAGGACTGGGAAAGCCCGGTCCACACGAGTCCGACAACTCGAACGAGGGACAGCGAGCAGGCCCTGGTCAGAGGAGCACAGAGTGCGTGATGAGGAATGTCTGTTCAGGAGCGTGGCCCAATCGAGATTCGATCCCAAGACTCCCGGGTGAAAGTCACGTGTGCTAACCAGTCACCCAAACGGAGATCTCCTTTGTCCAACTAGCCAGGGCGCATCATCAATCAGGTCACAGGGACAGGACACACACCGTCACAGACGCATGACATTCTGTCTCGATCTGTCCCCCACGCTTCAGGCCGTGTGTGTGTGTGTGTGCGTGCGTGCGTGCGTGCGGGGGGGGGGGGTCTTGTTCTGTGTGAAAGCGACTGAGCAGCATGGAGGCATCAGAGGATTTGTCTGTAGTCAGTGTTTAAATTGGATTAAAGACAGGACAGGATGTGTAATCAATCACATATAATATTATAATACCATGAACATGTACAGATACTTCATCATACTTCCTCACCAGCCTGCAACTCTTTTCTTTCTACAAAATCTACCAGACTGATGCTTTTAAATAGAAAATGTCCAACATTTACTACTGGGGGGTGGGGGTGGGGGGGTGGGGGGGGTGGGGGGGGGGGGGGGCATTTGAATGTCTCAACAGAAATTAAGACTCATCAGAGCAGGCAACATTTTTCCAGCTAGTGGGCCATTCCCATCTGTACCGGGTCGGCCCGGGCCGGGTAGCCCCAGTCGGCCCCAGCCTGGCCCGGTTGATTCCACACATCCTTGCCTTAAGCCCATGTGGGCTGATTCTACCCACCAATCAGAGGCTTGCTCTAATGGAAGGTGTGAATTTGCTGTCAGCAGTGGGTGTGTTGGCCCTGGTCGGCCTGAAGCAGTACCCCTCGGGAAGAGGGCTGAGAATGAGCCTTGGTTGGCCCGGAACAATACCGGGCCACCCAGATATGTAAACAACCTACGCTACCCGGCCCGGGCCGACCCGGTACAGATGGGAATGGCCCATAAGTTAGCTAGTATCTACACTGGTTCATTTGTTCCAACCGCAACAGCTCCACCCTCAGCTCCACCTCTTTTCCCATTTTTGGACCGTCTGGGTGTGACATGGTCCAGATGGTAGTGGTGGGAACCTCCCATTCAGTTTCAAACCTGCCCCCTGCACACCAGTGGACGGGGTACGCCCATCCTTTTTACATGTCGATGGTTACACCACATTTAGTCTCGCTCCAGTGACCAATAGAGACGGCTCCGGTCACTTTGCTGTAAACATGATTTAACCAGGGGTCCATTTCCTAAATTGAGCATCCTTCTGTTTTTTTAAACGGGCTAAATTCCCTTGAGACCATCTGGCTGTGGTTCCTTTTAACCCAGGACAACTTTACTGAGTGTTCAGCAAGCCTGCTGAATGGGCCCCTGAACAAGTCCATCAACAATTAAATCAGGAGTGCAGGAGCACGGAAACAACTAAAACACGCAGCATGCAGTACACTGTCCCTCTAGAACCAGGCTTCCCCACACCTGATCTAAATGGTGGTGCGGTTCAGCAACCAGGATGCTGGGTGCACCTGGCCGTGCTTTTGGACTGATCCTGGACCGCTTCAGATGCAGAGTTGTTTACAGCAAAGTGTCAGGGTGAAGCTGCAGAGGTCTACCGAAGCTCCGTTCAGGCCTTGATGCTTGGACACCACTCAGTGTCTGGATACAGAAGGCAGTGGACGGTCTTAAACCTGGAAGGAGGGAAGAAGATGAGGAGACATGGAGAAAACAACCAGCAGAGACCACGTCACTGGAGCCTGTATGGAAAGCAGGTGTACGACCTGGCTCCGTCACAACAAGCTATGGTGGTCAGCAGTTATACGCCCCATGTTACATCACAGCCTTCTATCTATGTAGTGTAACAAACCCAACGTCCAGCCCAGCAGTGTGATCAGAAGTAGGACGGGGCTACCTTGTAGGGTCCTCGGCCAGTGAAATGTTCCCCACAACACTGAGCACATTTCTTCTGTTCTCTAAGCCGCCATAGCTGAGCGTCACCTACAGCAACGACAACATACGGTAACCGAAAGGAACATTTAACAACTCCTCATTTCAGGAGCATGGAAGCATGGTAGCCAAAGGCTCACCTGACCAAGGACAGAGTCAGGAGGCAGCTTCCGAAGGTTCTCCAGGTGGGAGTGGAACAGGTGTGTGCGTGTCAGCTTCACCTCCAGAAGAGCCTCGATGATGTACCCTATGGTGCAGTCATCTGGGAGGCGAATCTTCTCCGCTGTACTGATGAAATTCCCCAAACTGAAACCACAGAACAGTTTAGAGTTTTAACAAAAACCTTTATTCCACCACAGCCTTTCCAGGGTCTAGTTGACCTTCTGCAGATACAGGACAACATGCACCATCGCAGCAGGAGCTGGCTTTTCCTGGGCTGTTCACCAGAAATGGGCCTGAAACACCTGAAGGGGAACAAACTAGGAGTTCTCTTGGTTCGATGCTTGAACTACCAGAGCTGGGTCAGAGAACCTGGATACCTGAGCTCCTCAACGCTCCTCCAAGGCTAACTTCAGCTATCCCTCACAACTGCTAGAGATGACCAGGGCCTGTTTCTTCTGCCATGAACAAAACCGATCAACAGAACTGTTGGCCCCGCCAGACCACAACTTCACCATCGTGACTGCAGACAAAGCCCCAGTCATTTGGTACACCAGCATATTTTAGCTGCTCTGCTTGAGACCATTAAGGGTTAAACAAGTTCAGGAAAATGTGCGTCCCTGACAGATCCCTCAGAGAGACTCTACATTTGCCTCTTCCACGTCCACGTCACAGAGGAAGTACTGATGTTGTCCAGTTGTTCCGGTAGAAACGACTGACTGTTAAATACGTTAAATACAAAATGAAGAGGAACAAAAGAAGAGACAGCCGGGGAGGGGCTCATGACATCACCTATATCTATATTTCGTGCCAATTTTGGAGACCGCCCATGTGCTCGATCACATCTGCATTCCTCAGGTAGTGTGTGTGTTCCAGCTTCCAGGTCATTTGAACTTTGCTTCTGGATAGACATTTTCGCCAATCTAGGATGGATTTGAACCCATGACCTCCCAGTCTCAGGGCGGACACTCATCCCACTAGGCCACTGAGCTGGTCATTAGAACATCAAAGCCATTTATTAGAGCAGAGAAGACGTCACCCAGAGCCTAAGGCCTACTCCAGGACCTTTTCAACTGGAAAGCTGGGGTGTTTTCTATGATCTGATTGTAAAGATCTACCCCACAGCTGTCCTCTGCTACATTAAGACCTGCATTGAAAACATTATGATCACTAGGACCATCAGAGTTTTCACAAACAGGAAACCCTGGATGACAATAGATGTCCAAGTTCTCCTGAAAGAGGGCAGTGTAGTTTTCAGATGAGGAGACAGAGTGAGGTACAGCCCAGCCAGACTCACCCAAAAAAAGGGCATCAAGGGGGCCAAAGCAGCAGACAACACTATACCAATAATGATGCAAGCTTATTTAGGATTTTTTATCCAGTGTACTTCAAATACAGTTGTACAAATGCAATGACAATAAATCTCATAGGTGCATCATAAAGTTCTGAATTCTAATCCCACTACGAGTAAAACGTGTATTTTAGCTTTTGTAGAAACAAAATGCATCAAAAGCATCCAGTCCATCTACCATGGACACAGGTTGAAAACAAAAACTAAAGGAGTTTACAGAATCGGAGTCGGTCAGCCTACCTGGCCCACGGGCTCATCTTCAAAGCCAGGCCTCGGCTAATACAGAACCCTGCTCCACCTGTGGCAAACCAGAATTTGACAGACACCTGAAACGAGATGAGAGCCGCAACAGCCAGCTGTTAAAATCTGAATAAAATGTTCATGCAGCAGCTGTATATTATCACGGTATATATATTCAGGTGGAAACACCTGAATATATATACCGTAAATCCTCTAATACAGGCCTGTATTCAATTAACGGCCGGGTATCATATTTTGGCCGGTGTCGGAGTCGGCGGAGGTGAATAATGGCCGTTTTTTTATTGTGGCCGGGTGGAATGTGGTACCAAGCAAGTACGGGGGGCGGTTGTGTCATCGTCTCACTTTTGATTTGCCAGTGATAGACCGCGAGGGTAACTTTAACCGTGCGGAGACGAAGAGGAGGCGAAAATTTGATATCAAGTTCAAAGAGAACGTGCTGATTATGCTGCAGAACACTCTGGTGAGCAGTAGCAGGGGCTGTATGAACTAGTCACTAGTCGACTTCACCGCTCTATAGTGACTTGTTATGCCTGTCATCGACTAGTCGCTGTCACATGATAATGACCGGCAAGATGCAGTCCTCAGAAAAGACAGCGCTAACCCTAACCCTAACCCTAACCCAACGCGCTGTGCCAGAGCGTCGGTACTGACACGCGATCGTTCATGTCGGTTCATTTCCTTTAATGTTTTCTGTCTTTTATTTGTGCCTGATGCGTTTCGCTGCTGTGGAGCGGGGCGCATCACCTTGTCCTCCGGTGACGCACCAATCACTGCTGTGGCCGCCAAGCAGCGAGCGCTCCGCTGTTTTAGCGGTCGGTAGATCTTTTAGAACTGCAGTTCAAAGATAACTCATGAGGTGAATATATATGAACCCAGGTAGCAGTTTCTCTTTAGGATTGAGAGGAGATGCAGGAAGATAATAAACAGACAGGACAGAAAAATAGTCAAATAACAACAAGTTAGTTTTTGTACCTGCTGGTTGCAACAAACAGACACCATTGAAGGTAATCAGAAGTGAGGAACAGAAAATGAAATAATTATTTTAATGTTTAGAGCAGCAGGAACTCCGAGAGGCTGCAGGCGCACTGCACGGGGGGAGGGGGGAGAGGGCTGAAGCAGGGGGAGGGGGGAGAGGGCTGAAGCAGGGGGAGGGGGGAGAGGGGAGATGGCTGAAGCAGGGGGAGGGGGGAGAGGGCTGAAGCAGGGGGAGGGGGGAGAGGGCTGAAGCAGGGGGAGGGGGGAGAGGGCTGAAGCAGGGGGAGGGGGGAGAGGGCTGAAGCAGGGGGAGGGGGGAGAGGGCTGCAGCAGAAGCTACCGTTGTTAAAAGAAATGTGTTTAACTTTGAAAATGTGGGCGTAATTTTAATTGTCAAAAACTCCAGCGAACCATTAGTTCATTTTGCTCAAATAGAAATAGCGGCCTGCCTCTAATACTGGCCCTCCTTCCAATAAAGGCCTGGAGCTTGGTGAGCTTGAGTCAAATACAGGCCCGGGCCTGTATTAGAGGATTTACGGTATTCCTTTAAGGAGATGAAACTGTGATAGTTTACCAAATAAGGAGTAGTAAACACCTAGTTTCCAGGAAGTAGTGCAGACAGACAACAAGGACTAGACTGGACTAGAAAAGACTAAAACTACTTTCTAAAATTTTAATTCACTTTGTTTTCTGATTATTTTCAAGCTGCCATGATCTAAAATCTGATACTTTTTAATAATGTCAGGCTCTAGACTTCTTTTACCCGTTTATCTGCGGGCATCAGAGGATGATCGACCTGTACCGCCCTCAGATAAACGCAAACGGAGATGGCTATAGTAATAAAGCTGAAACCTTTGCACAACAAGGTAAAGAACAACCCTTTTTTCTGTTTTAAAAGAACCAAGCATGGCATTCAGAAAAAGAGTTTAAAGAGCAAGTTGCCCCCCCTACCAGAGTCATACTCCACTCACACTTCCTGTTTTAAAAATGCACCAAAAGGAAATGTCACCTGGTGGACCAAGAGAGCGGCTCTGAGGTAGTGACTGACAGCAACAACAGCCTCACTACTGTCAGTGCGTCCCAGGGCAGCAGTAGGGCAGTAGAGGACAATGAAGGACACGGGCAGTAGAGGACAATGAAGGACACGGGCAGTAGAGGGCAATGAAGGACACGGGCAGTAGAGGACAATGAAGGACACGGGCAGTAGAGGACAATGAAGGACACGGGCAGTAGAGGACAATGAAGGACACGGGCAGTAGAGGACAATGAAGAAGACGGGCAGTAGAGGACAATGAAGGACACGGGCAGTAGAGGACAATGAAGGACACGGGCAGTAGAGGACAATGAAGGACACGGGCAGTAGAGGACAATGAAGAAGACGGGCAGTAGAGGACAATGAAGGACACGGGCAGTAGAGGACAATGAAGAAGACGGGCAGTAGAGGACAATGAAGGACACGGGCAGTAGAGGACAATGAAGGACACGGGCAGTAGAGGACAATGAAGGACACGGGCAGTAGAGGACGATGAAGGACACGGGCAGTAGAGGACGATGAAGGATTGAAGGACACGGGCAGGAGAGGACGATGAAGGACACGGGCAGTAGAGGACGATGAAGGATTGAAGGACACGGGCAGTAGAGGACAATGAAGGACACGGGCAGTAGAGGACAATGAAGGACACGGGCAGTAGAGGACAATGAAGGACACGGGCAGTAGAGGACAATGAAGGACACGGGCAGTAGAGGACAATGAAGGACACGGGCAGTAGAGGACGATGAAGGACACGGGCAGTAGAGGACAATGAAGAAGACGGGCAGTAGAGGACAATGAAGGACACGGGCAGTAGAGGACAATGAAGGACACGGGCAGCAGAGGACGATGAAGGACACGGGCAGTAGAGGACAATGAAGGACACGGGCAGTAGAGGACAATGAAGGACACGGGCAGTAGAGGACAATGAAGGACACGGGCAGCAGAGGACGATGAAGGACACGGGCAGTAGAGGACAATGAAGGACACGGGCAGCAGAGGACGATGAAGGACACGGGCAGCAGAGGACGATGAAGGACACGGGCAGTAGAGGACAATGAAGGACACGGGCAGTAGAGGACATTGAAAGACACGGGCAGTAGAGGACATTGAAAGACACGGGCAGTAGAGGACATTGAAAGACACGGGCAGTAGAGGACATTGAAGAACACGGGCAGTAGAGGACAATGAAGGACACGGGCAGTAGAGGACGATGAAGGACACGGGCAGTAGAGGACGATGAAGGACACGAGCAGTAGAGGACAATGAAGGACACGAGCAGTAGAGGACATTGAAGGACACGGGCAGTAGAGGACGATGAAGGACACGGGCAGTAGAGGACGATGAAGGACACGGGCAGTAGAGGACGATGAAGGACACGGGCAGTAGAGGACAATGAAGGACACGAGCAGTAGAGGACATTGAAGGACACGGGCAGTAGAGGACATTGAAGGACACGGGCAGTAGAGGACATTGAAAGACACGGGCAGTAGAGGACAATGAAGGACACGGGCAGTAGAGGACATTGAAGGACACGGGCAGTAGAGGACAATGAAGGACACGGGCAGTAGAGGACGATGAAGGACACGGGCAGTAGAGGACAATGAAGGACACGGGCAGTAGGGGACAATGAAGGACACGGGCAGTAGAGGACAATGAAGGACACGGGCAGTAGAGGACAATGAAGGACACGGGCAGTAGAGGACATTGAAGGACACGGGCAGTAGAGGACAATGAAGGACACGGGCAGTAGAGGACAATGAAGGACACGGGCAGTAGAGGACAATGAAGGACACGGGCAGTAGGGGACAATGAAGGACACGGGCAGTAGAGGACAATGAAGGACACGGGCAGTAGAGGACAATGAAGGACACGGGCAGTAGAGGACAATGAAGGACACGGGCAGTAGAGGACAATGAAGCACACGGGCAGTAGAGGACAATGAAGCACACGGGCAGTAGAGGACAATGAAGGACACGGGCAGTAGAGGACATTGAAGGACACGGGCAGTAGAGGACAATGAAGGACACGGGCAGTAGAGGACAATGAAGGACACGGGCAGTAGAGGACATTGAAGGACATGGGCAGTAGAGGACAATGAAGGACACGGGCAGTAGAGGACATTGAAGGACACGGGCAGTAGAGGACATTGAAGGACACGGGCAGTAGAGGACATTGAAGGACACGGGCAGTAGAGGACAATGAAGGACACGGGCAGTAGAGGACAATGAAGGACACGGGCAGTAGAGGACATTGAAGGACACGGGCAGTAGAGGACATTGAAGGACACGGGCAGTAGAGGACATTGAAGGACACGGGCAGTAGAGGACATTGAAGGACACGGGCAGTAGAGGACATTGAAGGACACGGGCAGTAGAGGACAATGAAGGACACGGGCAGTAGAGGACAATGAAGGACACGGGCAGTAGAGGACATTGAAGGACACGGGCAGTAGAGGACAATGAAGGACACGGGCAGTAGAGGACAATGAAGGACACGGGCAGTAGAGGACATTGAAGGACACGGGCAGTAGAGGACATTGAAGGACACGGGCAGTAGAGGACAATGAAGGACACGGGCAGTAGAGGACAATGAAGGACACGGGCAGTAGAGGACATTGAAGGACACGGGCAGTAGAGGACAATGAAGGACACGGGCAGTAGAGGACAATGAAGGACACGGGCAGTAGAGGACGATGAAGGACACGGGCAGTAGAGGACGATGAAGCACACGGGCAGTAGAGGACATTGAAGGACACGGGCAGTAGAGGACAATGAAGGACACGGGCAGTAGAGGACATTGAAGGACACGGGCAGTAGAGGACAATGAAGGACACGGGCAGTAGAGGACAATGAAGGACACGGGCAGTAGAGGATGATGAAGGACACGGGCAGTAGAGGATGATGAAGGACACGGGCAGTAGAGGACGATGAAGGACACGGGCAGTAGAGGACGATGAAGGACACGGGCAGTAGAGGATGATGAAGGACACGGGCAGTAGAGGACAATGAAGGACACGGGCAGTAGAGGACAATGAAGGACACGGGCAGTAGAGGACAT